GGCACTGTCTGGGTCATTGGATTTTCCCATGCCCTGATGCACTCCATAATGATCTCTAACTTGAACTTCTGTGGTTCTAACCACATCCATCACTTCTTCTGTGACGTTAAGCCATTGTTAGAGTTGGCTTGTGGGAACACTGAGCTCAACCAGTGGCTGCTCAATACTGTCACGGGGAACCTTGCCATATGTCCATTCTTCCTCACACTTCTCTCCTATTCCTACATCATCACCTCTCTCCTCTTCAAGACCCGTTCTTGCAGCATGCTTCACAAAGCATTGTCCACCTGTGCTTCCCACTTCATGGTCGTTACTCTTTTCTATGTTCCTGCTCTAATCACGTATGCCCGTCCTTCCTCAGCCAGCTCCATGGAGCAGGAACGGGTCATTGCCATCATGTACACCGTGGTCACCCCTGTGCTAAACCCACTGATCTACACTTTGAGGAACAAGGACGTAAAGAGGGCCTTGATCAGGGCAGTCAGACAGAAACGATGACTGAAAGAATGGAGAGAATTTCTCAAGGCTAAATAACTAGTCAATAAGAAAGTTTAAATTTGAACTTATATCATGATTAAAATTCTTTAGCATATGTGTAAAAGTGGGTACAAAATGAAAGAAATGCAAATCATAAAGTTCAGTTGAATCGATAGTATTAAAGAAATTTGAACATGTTGGACACTAGCCATGGAACCTTCATGCATAATTGGTTTGAGGGATACCCTTCTATATAATTGATTGGTTATATATTCCACTGTGTCCTTGTATGAAATCAGGTATACAAATATGCCCTTTGTACCCATGTATGAAGCAAATAAATAATATTTATGTTTATTTATCTGTGTGATTCTCTAGGTTATCACATTTTAATGCCAACAATAAAATTATTATGCTTAAAAATTTTGAAGCTGTTCTTCATTCTAAGGTCATGATTACCTATGTGTTAAGCAAGTGTGAGCTCACATATGAATTAAGGAGGCTTCTTCAGAGGTATGATTTCTTGTTCATGGAAGCAAGTCTGCAATTAATAAAAATGAATTTTAATGACTAGTTTACAGATATAAAATAGCCAGTGGTTCATCTAAACAAGTCTGGCACTTCTATCAGAAAGACATTTTAAAAGTGAAGAAGTGTAAAGGCAGTGCTGAATATGAGTGAAGTGTGTACAAGTTGACCATGGTAAACGGTGGCACTAAAACATACACAAGAAAATGGGAAATGTTTTGGTAAATTCTATAATATATACAAATTTTCAATAACAACCATAAAATGTGTGTACCATTACATAGGTAAATACATGTACATGCATATAAAGGGAGCTATACAATAGACGTGTGTATAAACAGGTGTATAGATGTATTTGTAGACATGTTTTATGTGTAGGTGTCTGTGTTGCATATATATTTCTATGCAAGTATGTATCACTTAGTGTCCACAATAAGTTCTGTGACACAGGATGGTAATCAAGTTGGCTGCTATGTGAGCACCATACTATGTTCAGGCAGTCCCTGAACATAGCTAAACTACTATAACAAACACTAAACTTGCTGTCAGTGAGTCAATGCTGATTCATGGGAACACCCTCTGAATTTCCAAGAATGTAAATTTTTATGGAAGTAGAAAGCTTCGTCTTTCTCCCACCGAGCTATTGGTGGTTTCAAATTGCTGACCATAGGGATCACAGCCCAATGCCTAACCACTACACCAACCGGGTTCCCTAAATTACTATAAAGCCTACATATTAAAAGCTGTGAAACCCCACCAGACAAAGCCTAAAAGCTGTATCCACTGGAAACAGGAGGCCAGTCTTTCTAGGTCTGAAATTTGGCCAAGCAGGGACTGAGCCAATGCCTGTATTAGTACCTTGGACATATCCTGGTGAGGGTGTATGGTGATGCCCATTTGGGAGAGGGAGAGACACAGATGATAGATGGGTGTGCAGTGCCAGGAGCAGGAGGCTGGCGGTGGTGCTCTGGCTGCTAACAACTGGTTGGTGAAGCTGCTTCCTGATCACTTGCAGCTTCCTCTTTCCAGAGGCAGTATCCCAAATCTAGACAGAACCACCAGTTCTCAGTACCATGATAGAAGTGGAGGATATGTGGGAGGCACTGCCCTGAATTGGGAATGAAACCTGGTGCAGCTGTTGGGTATGTAAAAGTAGCCAGGAGGAGGGGACAGGGTGGTAAAAGAGGAGGTGCTGCGGGGATAGGAATGCACACTGGAGTCCCACGACTCCCTCACTCTGTGGATTTGGGATATTTAAGATCATCAGAGGTGATTCATAAGCCAAAGTACAACTGCCTTCCGCTTAAGGAAAACAT